ATATTAGTTTATATATATTATATCTATATATCTAGCTTTTGTCAAAGAAAAATTTTGTTAAACTTAAACGAAACTTGCTTTAGAAAGGCTACCTGCCTACCCATGTTACAATTATTCAAAGTTGGGTGAAATATTAATTCAACCACAGTCTTCTAATTTTTATACAGAAAACAATGTCGGAAAGACATTATATCCAAAAAAAACTTGTGACCATTCAACCTGAAGTGTGATAACGAATCAGATGGTATCTATCAAGATTCACAGATGGGCTTTGATCGGTCAAAACTCTTTTTAGATAGCATCATAGATTTTCCCAATTTAGAGACCCCACTAAAGAGTTGAACTTTTAGGTTGAATAGTTTTTTGAGATTAGAGCCTGTTTGTCCAAATGGTTTAGATTTTGTTTACCACCCCATTATAATCAATTAAATTTCAACACGAGGGACCATGTTAGAGAATAGAAAAAAATATTTAAAAACCTCACCTACCAGTTTTAGTTTTTAGGTTGAACAGTTTCTTAAGAATAATACTGATAGTAGAGACTAGAGAGATATCATCAATTTATTTGCATATATAGGCATGTCGAGCCGGGATTGGCATTGACAATTCTAATCCAGACAACCTAGATTTCATTAGACTTCCAGCAGGCTCAAGTAGTGCACTAGTGCCCTTATCTGAGTCCACTTTGCCATCAATCTTTTTAAAACCAGACCGGACTATCTTTTAGCTAAAAACTGTTGATTTGGTCATTCGAATCATCAACTTGGATAATGATTTTTGGCCATTATTTATTATTTTATTATTTTAACTTTTATATTTTTTTGTTAAAACAGGCTGTCCATTCAGTTTGAATGATTGAACTGTTCGACCCAGGAACCGGATTCTGAACAGTGTCTAGTTTGGTTTTAAAAGCCTTATTTGCTACAATATGATTTTGGCACACAGAGCTAAAACCATTAATCATAGCCTTCGATGTATTCAAAGTGGGGTCACAGCAATACATCGAAACTGTGTTGTAGCAAAAGCAGTTACCCCTAACCCCTTAGGCCCTTCCCACCCTCTCTGTGCATTCAACATAGAGCATACATAAACTCTTTACCTACTTGAATAAGATTTCCCAAGTAATAATGGCTGGACAACGTTGGTTGTCCATGGCCACACTCCACGGCCCAAGCTGTACTAAGGCTCTTTTTACATCATTGTCCATGCCTTGTCCCAATTATTTTGGAAGGGCTCTTTCTACATCGTGTTAATTGATAATTTACCAGATACTGATAAGAGATAAGAGATTGGCTTCAATGCTCATAAGACTGTGCTTATACTATTTATACAGTCTTTTACACCATGCATTGGAAATATCTCGATATTTATATTTTTTTTCATGGAGAGATATTCCCAATTCAAAGATGTAAGGGATTGTGCGAATGCTGTGAACATGGTCTAATAAGTACTGAAGCCAACTTCTACTATTACACACACTAACAACTTGTCTTGTAGTATGTTCTTCCAGCTGCATCAATAAAAAGGCTGGAAGATGATCAAATAAAAGTCTGCAAGGAGAGCCCTATTGATAGCTCAGGTTATCAAACTTGGACAGCCAAAATTTTCTTGTAAATAATTGTATGATGACTAAATTCAGCTCTCCAAAACGTTTTACCAAAGATTGTTTATAGGCTTTATCTGGCTGAACCCACCTTACAGAGTCCAAACCCAACCACATGAAAGCCCTTCCAAATTAAACTGATATAAGGGAGCCTTGTCAAGATGATGCTTAATTGAGCTAAATGATGTAAGCAAGGTGTCAACCAGTTGATTTGGGATCAAATTCTGCCTGCATCAATGCTGGGTGGGTTTATGGGTTTGGGGGATGGGTCCCTCGGTTGTGTAGCCCGTGGAACAAAAATAAATAAATAAATAAAAAGTTGAAAAAAAAAAAGTCAAGTGGGCCCTAAAGCAAGTTTCCAATACAAAGATTTCTAGATCAATAACAACTTTGGCCTAAAGTATATACAACCTTACCTGCAAAGACCCATTTCCCTAAATCACCCAATTCATTACTCCATCTCTTTCTTGAATTGTCATTGATGGGATATCATCTGCCTCATCAATATCAGCAACTGGGCATCATAATTTGCCTCATAAGCCACACTATCCTATTACTCACTTTATCATTTATCTAGGCAATTTCAGAAACACCTTGGCATTAAACCTGCTCCTGCCTCTATCTACATTTTTAGTACTAAATTATTAAGAGAACCTTCCTTTTTTACTTCTTTTCCCTATTAGCATCAACACAGCTTTTGAGGCCAAAATTCATATTTTAAGTTCAAAATTTACTATCAAGATAACTGTTAATTCATCACTAATTAAAACTCCAACCAGTTTGTCCTTCCCAAGAGGGTCGCTGGCGACTGAAATTTAAAATAAAGCATCCTCCTGCACAGTAGTTGCTGATGTGTTATCTCATATCTGGCAAGTGGGGCTCCAGGTTTAGAATACTAGAACTGAATTACTGATTCTTTGGTGCGAGGGATGCACAATCCACCAAAAAGATACCTTTGTATTGCAGTCATGATCAGTAAAAGAAATTCTCAAAAGAAAAAAACTTTTGCTTTATATCTATAGTTTGCACTGATATAAGCATGCGCGTACCAAAACACTGGTATAGGGTCCAGGCATGTGCACATAAATCCACATCACACAGAAGTACAGGAAGTAGAGAAAAATGGATGGAGCTGAGGAGAAACTCTGCGTTCATCTCTCTCTAGTCTCTTTACTGGTGGCTTACCCCAGTATAATTGCATTGTCAACATGGTTTGAGGCTGTGTTTGGGGGCTTTTTCATCTTAATGAATCTTTAGAAAACTGTTTTTTAAGTGCTTTTTTGTGGATCAACATTTTCTTAAAATAGCTTTACGAAAACTTGAAAAGCGAAAAAGCCAACCTTTTAGAATTTTCTAAACGATTTTTTAAGCTTTTGGTCCAACAAAAGCCCATTTACTTTCAACCCGGTCCACAGTCCATTACTCCACTATACAGCCTAAGCCTTTAATAACCATTTGAATTTTGAAAGTGGGAACTGGAAACTTCTCACCTTGATAAGTTCATATAAAATACATGGTTTCTATTAAAAAAGATATCTAGGTGTTGCAACTTAGCTGTAAGATTCATTACTTCTCTCCAATAAGAAATCACAAAGAATCAGAGACAAAGCACCAAACCCCACTTACTCTTTCTCTCTCTCTCTCTCTCCTAATTAATTCATCTCATGTATATGCATGGCTACCTTTAAAAATACCTGATGATTAGTCTTAATACAGTACCCACAAGTCCAGGACAGTGAATCTATGGGCCCATGTGCACATGGCCCAAAATTTTCTGCTTCCAAGCATTAATAAAGTAGAAATTTTTATTGGACCAAAATACCCTTCTGTTCTTTCACATTGAAGTTCCTTTTTTCCCAATATTTTCAGCAATTATTTCCTTTTTATAAGTCAAGTGGACTTTTTTATATTCAGAAATACAGAGAGATGTCTCTGACAAGTGAATAAATGATACTCCTTGCCCACTAGAAACTAGAACTAAATAGCATGTTTGTCACAAGAATTAGGAATCAGTTGAAGCAAAAAGAGACGAACAGCCCTCGTTGTTGACCCAGTAAGAGTGCCACAGTTGGATCGGGTCAACCCAAAATCTGGTACCAGCCAGTAATGACAGGCTGCTAAAAGAAATTTGGGTTGTCTGAGCACTGAGTATGTCCTTTTTGTCAACATTTGCTTATCAGGAAATCAATAGAACCAAAATCTAATTAAACGGGTCTCTTGGCGGGTCGGATCAAGCACAACCGCCCCTACAGTCTCCACCATAGTCCAAAGAAAAAAAATACTCTGCTGACCTTTAGATCTTTGACCAAAATGCTGCTATGGTGGGACCCCCGCCCAACACCTATTGTCGACAACAGATTGGCTCATATACATTTCAAGCCTATACTTTACCTAACACGTGATATGTCTTCTATTATTCGAAGGAAATGTTTACAAGGTCAATTCAGTTATTTTGTTGTACACAAGGGTTAACATGGTCATTTTGCAATTTTATAGCAACAAAAAGAAATAAAATACATATTTTAAAGCATTAAATTCAAATTAAAAATTCAAGAGAGATCTTACGTGAGTGGCCGCAATAAATCGTTCAGTCGTCTCTCGCTACCTCCCACGTTTTGATCCGCTCCTTCCCTGCCTCCTGCCTTCACAAGCGGGAATTTGAACTCAAGTCAACAGAGATCCTTTTGACTGAAATGCCCTTAATGATATAATTAATTTATCAAGGATAACACTGCAAATAACTATAGTTTATTTAGTGCAAGTAGACTGATTGATAATCCAAGTGAAATCTGCCTCACTTAAGGCATAATTGAATCAATTAAACAGCCCTAAATATATTATTTTTATCTATTTTTCCATATTATTCTACCATCTGTTTGATGAAAGTTCTTACAGTCTTTTTCAAACAAGATTCTTGTAATATTTGATGATGATGTATACTACCAAGGATACTGCACAAAGGGTCCCACTTCCTTATAAATCGAAATCTTAGAAGCTGGAATCCAGACCTTCAAGTGTAGTCCCCAACTCCCAATCACTCCTCGATGTGGATGGTTTCAATAGGAACTGCTTTTAATTTCTCTAATCTAATCTAAACTTCATCATTTCTTAGTTGGCCAACTTGTTCCTCTCTGGGTATATAATATATGTAGATTTCTGTCTTGCTCCCTCCCTTCAATTGGTAGATGATAATTGTGCTTGGTAGACAGAAGATACAGTAATGAACTTTTTTTTTTGAGAAGTTTTATTGGTGATGATGGACCTCAGGACTCAAGAGAGCTTTAATAGTCAATCATGATTCCGTGAAGTGAAGGGTCTTCATTCAACAAATTAGATAGAGCTTTTTTAAACCAGTCTCCTCAAGTTGTATTTTTTATGTTTAGTTTGGAGAGAAGAGCTCAGACCCAGATGCGCTTCATAGTCTTTGGTTATGGTCAATGCAACTATGCAAGCAAGTTGCTGGTACAATGAGAGAAGGTTTAAAGTGAAGGGTGTTTTGGTCATTTGGGAGGTCCGTGAACCCAGTGGCAGCGCCTACTCCCTCCACTTTCCGTGTCTGATCATAGTCACAACTTTTAGGCTTCACCTTTAGATAACTGCCACATGATTGTTTGAGCTAATTTAGCATTTGCCCCACCCCAAGATAAAACAGGTTTCCTGTTTTCCCTGCAACAGTCTTTTGTCTCGTTTGGCTTTTGCAGGGAGAGAACGAGCAGAGCAAAAGCGGACTAATTCAAAAAAAAAAAAAGCAAAGAAGATCCAAAAATCCATGCGTCCATAGCTTTCACAGATTTCCCCCATTTTTCTTTCATTCAGGAATACATCCCTCTGTCTGTGTCTTGTCATCAGGGAGAGATGAAGGGTCTTCTTCTTCTTCTTCTTCTACCCATTTGGACTTCTTGCCTTCTTCTGCTTTCAGTCCTCAGTAATGCCAGGCCGGTGCCTTTGATTTCCACTATTTCTGCACCTGCGTTGTCCCCTGAACACGAACCCGTTTCTCCAATTTCTGCGACGACGGCGGCAATTTCTCCAGGTATTCGAGCAATGGCATCGTTTTCTTCGTTTTACTTCACTGGTTTCTTGGCTTCTCGAGTTCTGTTCATTTAGTTATATGCTTGCTTTCTTGCTTCCTTGATGGGTAGAGTCATTATGTGATTGTCTTACTTCTAAATTCAATTCTCAAAAAAGTTGAATAACACTGTTCATTACACTCAAACAAAGAGAAAACAGGAGAATAGAAGATTTGCTTTCTTTCTCTTTTCGATTTTGTAAAATTACCGATTTTCTTCATAAATACAATAATATCGTCGTTTGTCTCTCCTAAAATTTCTTGGTCAACCAATCAAATGTTTAAAATTCATTTATTTGATCAAATCGAAGAACTTTTTACTGAACTATTTATTTTATTTGTGTTCTTTCTATCCATTTTTGGAGGATGCTTTTTTTTTGGTCTTTTGAACTGTTTCTTCGGATTTGAATTTTAATTCGCTTTTTCCCCAAAATAGTACTCCTGTTGAAATGTTCTTGTTGGAATTTTCTGAAACCAGGGATGCAAGAGGTAAGAGCAGAACAACGTCATCACTCAGACAAGAAATTGCTTATACCACTAATCTTTACATCCTCCGCCTTGGGTATAATCATGCTATCTTTCCTTTTCCTCTGGGTTTACCGATTGAAAAGCTCAAGCAACTCTGTTCAGAAGAGCTTGCAGAACTCGGGTATCATTTTCTTTCCAATAAAACCCGCTTCACTTTTCCTTCGTTTATTTGATTGAATCAGTGAAGCTACAGTCTTATACTTCTTTTGTGCATTTGTCTTTGAATTTCAATCTAGTGACGCTATGAGAGGTTTTTGCTTCAGGTCCTATTTTGGGTAGATTAAATTCCTTGAGGATGACTACTACTAAGAACGGATCCGTTTCTGTAATTGAGTATCGATTGTTGGAAGCTGCCACCAACAACTTCCGTGAGAGTAATATTTTGGGCGAGGGTGGCTTTGGACGTGTTTACAAGGCTCGGTTTGATGACAACCGCCTTGCTGCCGTAAAGAAACTAGAGAGTGGTGGGCAGGATGCTGAAAAAGAGTTCGAGGTGCTGTTTCTCTTGAAACCCGTCTAGATTTCGGTGTTGTTTGATTTCGTTTTATGTCTTAATGATTATGTTTTTCCATTGTCAAACAAAATTGCAGAATGAGGTGGATTTACTCAGCTGCATCCGGCATCCAAATATAATTTCTCTTATGGGCCATTGCATTCACAAACAAACAAGATTTCTTGTTTATGAATTGATGCAGAATGGATCTCTTGAAACACAATTGCATGGTATCACTTTGTTACTTATCCAAGGCCAGTGGAAAAGAAGTTAAAAGATAGTGAAAGAGTAACAGCTTAAATTTTGGTTCATGTTGTAGGACCTTCTCATGGATCAGCTTTAACTTGGCATATCCGGATGAAAATTGCCCTAGAGGCAGCAAGGTGAGTTTATCAGTTTGTTAAGCCACACTCATTTTTTATTTATTTTTTTAAGTTTTCTCATTTACCTGATTCTGTAGTTTCCTGTAATCCATTCTATTTTTCTGTCATCCATTGACTTCAATTTTGTGATGCAGAGGATTAGAATATCTACATGAACACTGTAATCCTCCAGTGATCCATAGAGATCTTAAGTCATCAAATATTCTTTTGGATTCCAACTTCAATGCAAAGGTAAAAAAACTCTGAATCAGGGAGACTGTCCTACTTTTTCACCAATAATGTTTTATTGTTAAAATTGAGACCAGTTGGTCTCTTATTGAGGCTCTTTATAATCAATAATATGTAATATATTGTTGATTTACAATTTTTCATTATTGATCTATTGTATAACTCTTTAATTCCTTATTTCATACATATTTTGACATTTTGTCTTGATTCAGCTCTCTGATTTTGGTCTTGCTGTAACTGCTGGGGCCCAAAACAAGAACAACATTAAGCTTTCTGGCACTTTGGGTTATGTAGCCCCAGAATACCTTTTAGATGGTATGCCAATTGAGCTCACTTATTACGTGTTGATTTCTGTTGCTCTCTGATCTGTTCATTTAATGTTTTTTGTGAACCCTGCTGAACTTGATAATGTGCATATTCTGGTTGCTATAAACTTTTGTGTAAATCTTTTCTTCCATTCTTTCTTTTCCCCTGAATTTATCTGGTGGACTTTTAAGGTTGGCTAATTTGCTTCAGGTTATAGACCTATCATAAGTGATATTTATGTCAACTTATATTAGTACACTACATTATTTTGGACAATCAGAATAGCACTGGAAATATCCTTTGGTACCTCAGGGTTTCATCACCTTGAATTCCAATTTAGTTCATTAGCAATATTGACCTGGTGCTTATTCATTCAATCAAAATATGAGAAATTACATTTCACCAAAGTTGATCATATTGTCAAATTTTCAGGTAAACTGACAGAGAAAAGTGATGTCTATGCTTTTGGAGTTGTACTTTTAGAACTCCTAATGGGAAGAAAGCCTGTGGAAAAGATGGCACCAGCTCAATGCCAATCTATTGTCACATGGGTATGTTTTGTTCTAATCCCCATCTAGTCTGGAAAGTTTATAGGAAATCGACAATCAGATCCCTAGTTTTATTGCTTGAAACTTAAATTGCTGCTTATGAAATCTTTAATGTCATTTCATGTTTCACTATTTGCTCCATGCAGGCCATGCCTCAGCTCACTGACAGATCAAAGCTTCCAAACATTGTTGATCCCGTAATCAGGAACACAATGGATCTGAAACACTTATACCAAGTATGAACTAGAAACCTTGTATTTTCTTCACTAGTAAACATTGTTGTCTTCTTTACTTAATCAACTGCAATATTATTGTGTAGGTTGCTGCTGTAGCTGTTCTGTGTGTGCAACCAGAACCAAGTTACCGGCCATTGATAACAGATGTACTGCACTCCCTCATCCCTCTTGTTCCTGTTGAACTTGGGGGGGCACTGAGAGTTACAGAATCTTCACATCCAGTTGGCCCCAAACCCACTGCTAACTGATTGTGCAAGTTGAACATGAAATTATTAAGCATGTTTCATGGGGCAGCACCATGTCAGGATCTTCAGATGCTTAGAGCACAGATTGGCAATTTCATGAGTCTCAGTTGCTCAAAACATGGTTGATAATATTGCATCTGCTGGAATGTAATCTTTCCAAGTATTCCTGGTTATTTGCTCGTGTGATAATTTTTCTTTGGAAATGGGGAAGATTGAAGTTGGTCCTGTAACAGAAGAAAGGTCTTGGCTCCTATACAAAATTGTAAATTGAAGCAAAGTGAATTAGTTGTTAAATACCTTCCGGAAATTACCTGTGCTGATGAGTAACAATATCAATATTGAGCAAATCTTACATTTCTGCAAATTCAGTTTTGAGAGCTGAAATAATTACTGTTGTTC